TTCTTGATAACACTCTTTTCTCAAAGAGAAGATTACAAATTTACAAACTTACAAGAAAAACCTCACAAGGCAAATATGTTTGCACAATTCTAGAACAAAGAAAGAACACTCAAGAATAAATACAATTGAACACAATAAGTGTTCTTGAAAACAAAATGAATATTGAATGAAAAATAGGCTTGAAATGCTCAAACTTGAGGTTTGATGCTTTCTCTTTGAATCTCTCTTGATTCTAGTTGCTTGTTGTTTCTTGTTATTGATCAATGGCTTCTAAGCTTGTTTAAATACACCTTGAATCACTTCTGAACGTTGGGGATGATTAGTGGAGTCAATAGAGCCGTTTAAGTGTGAAAACAATTAATTAAAGTAGTTGGGAGCGTCAGTGCATCGATGCATACCCATGGTGCATCGGTGCATCGGTGTAATGCATCGGTGCACTAAGAGTGCAACGATGCATCAAGTGCATTCGATGTTTCAAATAGCCAGAGTGCATCGATGCATGGCTGGTGCATCGATGCATCAAATGCATTCGATGTTTTCATAAAATTCTCAGTGCATTGGTTCATGGTAAGTGCATCGATGCATGAAATGCATTCGATGTTCAATTTAATTCATGGTGCATCGATGCATGGATTGGTGCATCAGTGCATCACTCTGAAAATTTGATTTTAGGCTTGATTTTGGTTCAAAATACTTTGGAAATTATTTCAAAAATATATTTAGTATAAAACACAATTTTTACACATTTAGTAAGGTTTGAAATTGATCTTAAAAGACTTGGAGTAATAATTTGATATTCGATTAATTGAATCGAATATACTTAGAAAATCATTTGTAAAATCTTAAAATTCTTTTAAACTAATTTGTTATATCGAAATATCAAAATGTTTTCAACATGTTTGGTTTGCTTACCTTTAATGCAATCTACACAAGCATCATTCCAATTAGTGAAACCCAATTGAGACAAATCTCTACTTTTAATTAGCCTCAAAATCCTTTTAATAAGAAAATACCCAAATTTCTTATGAAACTTTTAATAAGAAAAATACTCAAATTTCTTATGAAATCTTTAATAAGAAAAAATACCCAAATTTTTTATGAAAATTAAATTGGTAATTTAATTTCTATCAAACGTGGCTCTGAGGCCAAATGTTAAAATCAATTAATCTTGCATGCAGAAGCATTAACACATAAGGATCTTGATAGGGTTATTAAATCAACCAAATCAAGTTCATGGCACAATTATTAAGAATTACAGTAAAAAAATGAAAACCTACTTGATGATTCTATTATGATAGTAGAATATCCCAAAAGCAAGAAATAATAGATGTTATCCAATCTCAATACTTTATAATCCTCAATTAGCCTTAGCCTTGTGATGATATCAAGAATTGTTTGATTCTTGATTAAAAAATCATAACCCCAAAACAAAGAGTGTTCTTATTTTCTTTTTAAGAGAGAAAAAGAGAGAGCATTAACAAAAGCTGTCAACTATGTGAGTTTAAAAAAAATGATTCCAGTATGTTTTTTAAATCATAAAATAACCGAAATGCCAAAATAACCGAAAGGCCCATCTAGTTTTCAATTACACATAACACCACTCAAACTTATATTTTCATGGTATGGGACGGAGGGATTTACACCCGATAATTGCCTCCTCAATACTACACTAATTATCACCGTGTGTACAACAACAACAATTATCAATTACTTAAACTATATGAATCAATATTAGAAATCAAAATTTCTAACAATATATAAGTGAAATGTCACTATATATATAAACCTAAACGGGTTTGATATAAAATAATTTTAAATTTAAATCGATGAAACTTGACTTAAAATAAAAATAAAATTAGAAAATAAATTATGGTCTGACCCATCAATACCTACCTCTAAATCAATGTTTTCATCAACTATTCATTATTGTAATATCATTTGACGATAGTCATTGCCTCCGTAAGAACTAAGACCTCAATTGGACTTATTATTCTTTTCAGATATTACGAGTTCCTAATACTGACATGATATGATCATTTATTGTCAGTTGATTGAGAATCTTTAAACAGATATTGTCATATATTCACTCCATATTTAAAAAAGAAAACAATAATCATTGCCCTTCATTTCGAAGTTCTTAATAGGATTATGTGCAATATTAATAATGATATTAATCAAATTAAAGAAGAAAGAAAATTATATTTTTAAGGTAAAAGGGTTACTTTTGCCCCTGTAGTAGACCCAATTTATAATTTTTGTTCCTATTGTATTTTCGTATCAATTTAGTTTTCAAAGTTGCTCAATTACATCATTTTATACCTTACCCCCAACTTAAATCCTAAATTAATAATATGGTGTGAGTATAAGATAATACTTTTCATAACTGTTTTAGTCTTTTTTTTTAATGTATGGAGAAAGAGCCTAGAACTTAAACAGTGATGTCGTGGCAAGAATCTTCAGCGAAATAAGAATAGATCTCCAGAGAGGGGCTATGTTAAAGATGAGTCCCCAAAGACAGTCACCATGCGAATCGAGCCATTCCATCAGCTACTCTACTACATTCCCTCGGAACATGAACCAATCTAACCCGAAATGCCGCTTGAAGAGTGCATCAATATGATGATGCAACAAGGAGCGATTACCACCACTTGGATCATAAAAATTTCGAACAACCTGCTCATTATCTGACTCCGCCACAACCGATCGGAATCATAGATCCCAAGCCAACATCAAACCTTCAGGAATGCCCCAAGCCTCCGCATTTATAGCCGAACACCGCCCAATAAGTTTAGCAAAACCCGAGACCCAAGCCCCTTCACTATCCCGCAGAACACCGCCGCAAGTTGCCAAGCCAGAATGTGGATTATGGCCACCGTCAGTATTGATCTTAATACAATCGAGCGAATATTTCGATTTATCCTGGCCTCACTACCTTGAAATAAAGCTCGCATCGCCAGCGAATGCACCGCTTCATCCTGGAGACGGGAGCTCTGAACCAGGATCGATTCCGACACACAGAAGCTTCGATAAAAAAATCATATGATTCCTACGAATCCATAAACACCAAGTAATGGATCCAAAAAGCAAATCCCAATCTGTAGCGACAACACTCCCTTGAACGAAAGAATTTTGATATTCATAATAGTAAAACTAGTACATTCTAATATACATTCAAATAGTCTGAAGACTAAATTTAAATAAGATACGTTAAATTCATATCTATATAATTTATATTTTTAAAACTATATTTTTTATTTTTCAAATAATACTTTAATTGAATTAAACTTTGATTTATGAAGCTCATTTCAACTCTTAAATCAGTAAAAAGTTCTAACTAATCCTCTTTCTAGAAGAGGAGAAATATGCATGCAATGAATACTATTAATGAACAAGTTAAAATTATGCATACAATTAAGAATAGGAAATTATTATTGAGTTGCATGAAAAAAAATGACACTAAGGCAACAATCTTAATTTGTTCTATAAATAAAAACCGTTCACGATGGGACTCGAACCCACAATCTCCCGCTCCGGAGGCGAGCGCCTTATCCATTAGGCCACGCGAACCAGCTGCGGGGAATTGGAATAAAGTTATTTATAATTATAATAAATGATAAACACAATAAGTTCTAAGGTAAACTACAGCATTGATCACTTTTTTTTAATATTTATATATTTTTGCTCACTAAATTCAAAAAACACAAGTTTTGATCACTTAAATTATCGTTTTATTAAGATTTGGTTACTAAAACATTAGCCGTAATTAATTTAATGTTGTGACACGTTAGAAAAAAGATTTAATTTTTATATTAACTCCTAAACTTTAGATAAAATATTAATAACGTGTCTTTTATAAACCCAAAATAATTTAAGGATAAAATATCAATTTATCCTTTTTTTTTTTAATATGTTTTCTTCCCAAATTCTATCTTCCACCGCACAACTTCGTTGTTTTCTGAATTTGTAACAAATATAAAAAGTGTGAGCATAAATAACAAATATTATTATAAACACTCTCATATGTATTATGATAAATATCAATACTTTTATTTATTTATTGAGATTAATCTACATTTTTTATATAATGAATATGTAATTTACATACTAAGCATCTTTATTTATAAATTGAAGGAGATTGAACAATTAAGTATCTTCAATATTTTCTATTTTTATATATAACGTATCAATTATAATACCAAGGGTAAAGTACACAAATGGTCCCCCGGTTATAGGGTATTATTTTATTAAGTCCCTCGACTATTAAAAGTTACAAAATGATCGTTCAACTATAGAATGCTGCCTTGTTAAGTCCCTTGACTATCAAAAGTTAAAAAATGGTCACCTGACTATTCATTATGTTTCAAAGTCATCATTATGTTTGAGGCTTTGGTATTAGATTTTATCATATCATGGTCAACAAAGTTAGCGTGCAACTAAGAAAATTGTTCATTTTTTAATGGAAAATGACGAATTTAGAACATAATGAATAGTCAGGTGATCGTTTTGTAACTTTTAATAGTCAAGGGACTCAACAAAGCAGCATTATAGTCGGAGGACTATTTTGTAACTTTTAATAATCGAGTGACTTAATAAAATAGTACCCTATAATTAAGGGTCCATTTATGTACTTTACCCTAATACTAATTACATTTAGTCGATCTTTAAGATTCAATTGACGTTCCATGACCATTCCTCTTCTAATATTATAAAAAATATATTTACAATTTTTTTTAAAGTATACAAAAAATTTTCACTTTCTAATCTAAAATATTTATTTTATATCAATAATGCTGTTAAATATTTAACGATTAATGACAAAATAAAAAATGTAAGATTAATGATAAGTTTATTTGATAGTTAAATTAGAAAAATGTAATAGATCAATGAGTAATGTTGTAATTTTTCCTATTATTTATGGCCCAGAGACGGAGAGAAGGTCTTAACTATACAAACCTTATAAGGGGTCAAAAATAAAGACTTTGCAATATTGGGTAGCTCCACACAGTTACTATAGCTTTTCCGCTCAATAATTTAATTATAAAAGAAAGAAGAAAAGAAGCTAGGGTTTGAATAGCTTTGAATTCTGAGCTTTTAAATCCAAGAATCTACGGTTTATAATTTTTGATACTTTCTGTTCAATTAAATCTTTCAAGGTAACAAAGAATCGTGGGCGAAAATGAGGATTATGATAAAAGGAGGCGTATGGAAGAACACGGAGGATGAGATATTGAAGGCGGCGGTTATGAAATATGGGAAGAACCAATGGGCTCGAATTTCTTCTTTGCTTGTTCGTAAATCTGCTAAGCAATGTAAAGCTCGCTGGTATGAGTGGCTCGATCCCTCAATTAAAAAGGTAAATTTTTCTTTTCTTTTCCTTCTAAAGAATTTTAATGTTTGTTCACCTGGATTTGTTTTGAATTGGAGCTTTACATTAGAAGATCGAATCAATTTTAGGTATTTTAGTTTTTCAGTGTTTCGATTTATGAGTTGAAATTTTCCATAGACACTTATTATTAATAGGTTTTTCTTTGGTTAGAGAAGTTAAGTTTCGTTTAGATTGCTCTTTGATTTGATGCCTTTGGTCAGAGTAGCTAAGCTTAGTTGAAAGAAATGTTCTTGTTGTTTCTTGTTTTTTGCTTTTTGCTTGCTCGAATGTCTGGTATGCAGACAGAAGCTAATGGTATATATATATAAAAAGAAAGACTAAAAGTACCAAATATTTAAAATGTTGCGTAATGCACATTGGTTTATAATTGTATCATATAAAAATAAATTCACAAATTTCAACTCTTATTGTTCATTTGCTTGTGTCAAATAAGCTTCTTTTTTTTTTAACTTCTGAGAGTTTAAAAAGACGTGGCAAAAGTAAGAATTGAGGATGGTCTAATCTAATTATTGGGGATTGCAGCCTTTTGTTACTCAAACTGCAACTTTCTTTCTTCTGAGAATATGTTATTGTTTGTCTTTCTGTTGAATTATTAAGTTTAATTGAATCGTTTCTACTTGATTCCTTTTGATGAAGAAAACTAGTAATAATTTTCATATTTATTTCTATAAAAGTAAGAGCTTTCAAGTGATCATTTGTGTTTTTGTGATGTATGTAGACTGAGTGGACTCGAGAAGAGGATGAGAAGCTGCTTCATCTAGCTAAGCTCATGCCAACGCAATGGAGGACGATTGCCCCAATTGTTGGCCGGACACCTTCTCAATGTCTTGAACGTTACGAGAAACTCCTTGATGCAGCTTGTGCTAGAGATGAAAATTATGAGCCAGGTGATGATCCCCGGAAATTGCGTCCCGGAGAGATTGACCCAAACCCTGAATCAAAGCCTGCTCGTCCAGATCCTGTCGATATGGATGAGGATGAGAAGGAAATGCTTTCTGAAGCTCGTGCTCGATTAGCTAATACTAGGGGCAAGAAGGCGAAGAGGAAAGCCAGAGAGAAACAGCTTGAAGAGGCTAGGAGGCTTGCTTCTTTACAGAAAAGGAGGGAGCTTAAGGCTGCTGGAATTGATACAAGGCACCGAAAGAGGAAAAGGAAGGGAATTGACTATAATGCGGAAATTCCTTTTGAGAAGAGGCCTCCTCCAGGCTTTTATGATGTTGCTGATGAAGATAGACCAATAGAACAGCCTAAGTTCCCAACCACCATCGAAGAACTTGAGGGAAAAAGAAGAGTTGATTTAGAAGCACAGTTAAGAAAGCAGGATATTGCGAAGAATAAAATTGCACAGCGGCAGGATACCCCATCAGCAATATTGCAGGCCAACAAGCTGAATGATCCAGAAACAGTAAGGAAGAGATCAAAACTTATGCTACCATCACCTCAGATTTCTGATCATGAATTGGAGGAGATTGCAAAGATGGGATATGCGAGTGATCTTCTTTTAGGGAGTGAGGAACTTGCTGAAGGGAGTGGTGCAACACATGCTCTTCTTGCAAATTATTCCCAGACACCACGTCCAGGAATGACACCTTTACGGACCCCACAAAGAACACCTGCTGGAAAAGGCGATGCTATCATGATGGAAGCTGAAAATTTGGCTAGGATGAGAGAGTCACAGACGCCATTACTTGGCGGAGAAAACCCAGAGCTGCACCCTTCAGATTTCTCAGGGGTCACTCCTAAAACACAGATCCAAACACCAAATCCAATGTCGACTCCTGCAGCAACACCTGGAGCTTCAGGTCTTACTCCTAGAACTGGAATGACACCATCAAGGGATGGCTCTTCTTTTGGTTTGACTCCTAAAGGAACTCCCATGAGGGATGAGCTCCGCATAAATGAAGACATGGATCTACATGACAGTGCTAAACTTGAGCAGCGGAGACAGGCTGATCTAAGAAGTAACTTGAAATCTGGACTTGGTAGTCTTCCACAGCCAAGAAATGAGTATCAAATAGTCATTCAACCACCCCCAGAAGATAACGAAGAACCAGAGGAGAAGATTGAAGAAGACATGTCTGATCAGATAGCTAGAGAAAGGGCTGAGGAAGAAGCACGGCAGCAGGCATTACTTAAGAAGAGATCAAAAGTGTTGCAGAGGGAGCTACCAAGACCTCCTAGTGCCTCTCTGGAACTAATTAGAGATTCTTTGATGAGGACTGATGGAGACAAAAGTTCTTTTGTTCCTCCTACTTCAATTGAGCAGGCAGATGAAATGATAAGAAAGGAGCTTCTGTCCTTGCTGGAACATGACAATGCTAAGTATCCACTTGATGAAAAGGCATATAAGGTGAAGAAAAAAGCTGCCAAGCGTCCTGCAAATGGATCTATTCCCAGTATTGAAGATTTTGAAGAAGAAGAAATGAATGAGGTTTGTCATGTTTTTCATTGGTTATGTTGATGTCATTTTATGTTTTCATACCTTAGTGAACTCGTAGGTTATTATTGGCACGAATGGTTTATTATCAATGCAAGAAAATTTCATTTTGGTGCCTGCTATAGAATTGAGTTCTGTTTGGTGATATAAACCATCTATCACAAGTTTTATTAATCATGGATGCAATCAACCTAAACCTCATACTATTAGTTGAAACTCGATTTTCATCTGGCTGCACATTATAAATATTTTGGTGTCTGTAATTTTGCAATCTATATCTTTCATAATTTTTTTCACTTCTAAGGTAATTTAATTTGAATTCATATGCTGAAAACCTACTACTAACACTTTTCAGATTCGGGTCCCTGTCAGCCTGTTCTTCAGATTTCTTTTCCTTTCTTTTTGGATCATAATCTTTGACTTTTTTAATATCAGAGATGATATTATAGCATAAATGAGCCCTCTTATGAACTCACCGACGATTTTATTTTTGTTGGCAGGCCAATTCCTTGATTAAGGAAGAGGCTGATGTTCTTCGTGTGGCGATGGGGCATGAAAATGAATCTCTTGATGATTTTGTGGAAGCACATAATACTTGCCTAAATGATCTCATGTACTTCCCTACTCGTAATGCATATGGTTTATCAAGTGTTGCTGGAAATATGGAGAAACTTGCGGCCCTGCAGACTGAGTTTGAAAATGTGAAAAAGAAGATGGATGCTGATAAGTTGAAGGCAGAAAGCATGGAGAAGAAGTACAATGTTCTCACACAGGGTTACGAGGTAATAATTTTTTTAAAAGAAATAGGAAGCCTCGTTAAAAACCCTTTCATAACCATCGAACTACTAGCATAGCTCAACGGACATTGGAAGGAGGAAAAGAGTGCCTCAATAATTTTATTACTAAAAACCAAATACACCTAGAGTTCAATAACACCAATTACAACCAGAACAACCCGAAAACTAGAAACAAACCCATTACAACAAAAGAAAAAACTTTTTAACCTATCCCTAACTTAGCAAGTTTATCCGCTTCCCAATTAGTTGCACTCATTACATGCCTAACAATAACACCTTTATCCACCACAATGGAAGCGATGTCTTTCACCAATGGGTTAAATAGTGGGGTGCTGGAAGCAGGGCTTTTAATTCACTCCAAAGCCACCGAACAGTTGGATTCTAAAATAAGCCTACAACACGCTGAACTCCCGAACTTCAAGAAGAGCAGCAGCCCACTTTTAATTGACAAAAATTCTGCCAAAATTGGAGGGCCTGGACCAACGCTCTCTGAAAAGTACCCAATACCACACCGTTCTCATCTCCAAGCAGCCCACCAACCACCTTTCTGCCACGACCACTCCGTAGCACTGTCCACATTCAATTTAACAAAACCAAGGGGGTGGAGACCAACACACAGACCTTGATGGAACCGTCTTAGAATTCTGAGTTCAATCTCCTAAGGTAAGATCCCCCGCTAGGCTGTGAAAAGGAATTGATACCTTAGTAAATTTTGAAGAAAACCATGTTGCCACCCTATACCTTGTGAGAAAAGATAGCAAAGCAGAATCAAGCTTCCCTTTATTAAACACTATTTCATTCCTCATCTTCCAGATCGACCACAAGATAGGCCCTGGGATAAAATCCCAAATGGTCGATTGGGGCGCGAGATCAAACCATACAGAAATCAAAGCATCAGGACTTTCAGGAACAACAAGCGAAACATTCCATAACCGCAAGAAACTCACCCATAAGTCCCACGACACTTTGCAGGAAACAAACGAGTGAGAAACAGATTCGGTGCCGAACCACAAAATGGACAAGAAGAATCCTCAATCCTTAGAACCCCGTGATTAATTAGCTCCGCTTTAACTGCCACCTTCTTATGAATCACCTGCCGATTCCACCCGATGAGGAGCCACACCGTTCCACACATACCTTAACCACAGAAAACTCTCATCAGACCTATCAAAAAGGAGCCTTAGACAAGACTTACCGAGAAACAACTATCTCCTTCACCTGTCCAAAACAGACTGTCTTCAAGCAGAGGTGGAGAATTAAAATGATACGGCAATGAAATAAAATCGTTCCATTGCATCATCTCCCAATCGGCTAATTCCTTCTCATTGGAATGTCCCAAAATCCAACCTGAGGAGTTCGATTTCCTGAAATCAGCAATCTTCCCCTCTTTATTACTCGACAAGGAAAACAATCTTCCCCATTACCCACCTTCAATTGAAAATTACTCCGAAAACAAGCTCCAAAATCATCATCCGAGCAGCAATTTCTAACCACCCCTTCCATATCCACGATGCTTTGTAGGAAGCCATATTTTTCAACCCAATTGTTTTTGGATAAATCTTTTTATTGCAACAAATTACCCTTTTCCACCACGAATCCCTCTCATTCGCAAATTTCCATGCCCATTTTTGTAATAACACTATTCATAAGCTCCAAATTGGGAACGCCAAGCCCTCCCAACGCCTTGTGCTTGCGAACGGTGGACCATCACCCAATGGATTCTGGTCTTATCAACCGAGTCCCCTCATAAGAATTTCGCCATAATTGAGTTTAGCCTCCTTAAACCACAACTCGGCTTTCTGAAAATTGACAGAAAATAGATCGGCAAGGAACACAATACTGATTTTATCAACACAACCTTTCCAGCAACTGACAAAGAAGATGCTTTCCAACCAGCCAATTTCTTATAAAACTTCTGAATAACTGGATCCCATAATGATACTGAGTTTTTCTTCGCCCCAAGAGGCAATCCCAAATAATCCGTGGAAAGGAACCCACTGCACACCTGATTGTAGCAGCCCACTCACTAAGGGCATCTTCATTAACGATGATTCGAAACAGCCTACTTTTGGATAAATTTAATTGCAAGCCGGACATCATTTCGAAAATCAAAAGAACTCTGTTCACGTTCTTCAACTCCCCAATAGAAGCGTTACAAAAAAATCAGTAAATCATCAGCGAATTGGAGGTGAGAAAGGACGAAAGAGTTATCCTGATTTCCGAGCACAAAACCTTAGATGCACGCTGATAATTTTCTTATGCTACCATCATCTCAATTTTTATTGCAACTGTAGCATGTGCGTTATAATTTCTATCATTCATTTTCTATTATTAGACTTCATTTAGAATTTTCGTACTGCTTAGTAACATTAACAAAATCTTTTATACAGCATGCTTTCTTTATATGTGTAAGAACATGAAAACCTTTATGCCTTAATATCTGTGTTTGTGAATTGTGAGTTTGCCTTTGGAAATTGGAATTATGTGGGTGTTGGATTGGAGTAGGATGTGATTAAATAAAACAATTAGCATGTAAAGCTGTATCTGTATAAAGAAAAGTATCTGTTTTCATATTCATTTGATAGGTTGGAGTGCTGATAATTTTATTTATTAAAGCCATTTTAGTAGTTTATTTGAATTGTATGCACACCATCTTTCTTGTCCTCATTCTGATGCTGAACTAAGAATTAAATCATTTATTAACACGTAATGGATGATAGTTGCTTCTATCCAGCTTATAGCAATTAAATTAGTGAACTCCAATCCAAAAATACAATATCATACTTTTAGTAATTGAAGTTTGTTTGAAATTTCAATTCCTGTTGTGCTAAACAACCAACAATTTCAATGGTCAGAAACGGGCAGCAACTCCTTGGCGTCAGATTGAGTCAATCTATAAGCAGATGGATACCGCAGGAACAGAACTAGAGTGTTTTCAGACTTTACAAAAGCAGGAGCAATTAGCAGCATCACACAGGATAAATGGTCTCTGGGAGGAAGTCCAGAAGCAGAAGGAGCTCGAACAAACCTTACAAAGACGCTATGGGAATCTCGTGGCTGAGTTAGAAAGAATACAAACTCTGATGAATGTATATAGAGCAGAAGCTGAAAAGCAAGAAGAGGCGGCCAAAAAGGATCGAGCTCTTGAGTTGTCCGAGCCTGCATTGCCATCAAGCCAAGTTGATCTGTCAAGCTCAGGAATATCAGAGCATGTTGAGTCTTCTCTTGATGGTCAACCAAGTGTGGAAACAGATGGAAGCAAGTCCGTAAATGCGCCTTCGGTTGTGGAAGACAAAGGCGGTGATATCCCACAGACAGACAATATGGTGACCGAGGATGCTCTAAGTTCTGAGGTTGCCACAGAATCTATAAATCCAGATTCAGTCTCTTCCAAACAGGAAAGCATCCGAGAATCTCATGAAGCTGAAAGTTACCCTGACCACACCGAGGCCGACAATTCTTGTGTCTCGGTTGGGGATAATGCTGAAAAACAACTTGGGATGGAGGAATAACTTTTTGAGCTCTGAACAAGTATCGAGTTTCATCGGACAATGAGAGACTAAAGTCATGAGATCCGTATCTGCTTCTCTATTTTCATAAATCACGATTTCTACATGGATGTTAGCTATGTTGGAGTACAGCTTTTTATGTTGTGTTTCTTTGCTCTTAGAAGGGACCTCAAAAAGAAATACCAGTAATGTATAACTGGAAAAGATACTCTTTCTATTTTGGTGGAATCTTGAAGGAACATAGTTTCACATTCATGATTATCTAACTTCATCTGAGTTTTTGACTAAGGTCGTCCCAAATCTTTTTTTTTTTTGAAGTCATCGCAAATCTAAATGCGTTGTAGATAGATTTGAGGAATACATATTTATTTATTTATTTATTTTAATGTCTGGGAAGAGATTAGAAAAAAAGTTCCTCCATATCCATATCCGTATCTAATTGAGTCATAACCAATGTAGCTATGATGGTCACATAAGGGAGGAGTCAGAGTTCCACCATTTCGTCAAAAAAAGAAAGTTTTTATTATTATTTTGTCTCCGTTCAATTGGTATACCAAATTCGGTAGCAGCAGGCAGCCTTATTATGACTGCTGACACCTAAATCTATTTTCAAGAATACAACATTTCCAATCCCACCATACTGGATAAGCTTTGACTGCTTGACCCTCATCATAAATAACCTTTCTTCCCAATCTCCCTGCGCATAATCTTCATCAAACAATCCCCTAGCCTGACGCAGGTATGAATATATATGTATATATATATATTACAAAAGAAACTACGTTCTTCTCTCCGGAATGCTAATTTCGTGGCATAAATGATCGACCATGCAATCAATCATGCATGCGTGTTCTGACCATTACCATTCTATGGTGTAAAAAGTATCCATAATAATGTTTTTTGCTGCAGTCACAACGTTGAGAGCGTGGTAGTTGCTTTAGACATGATTGATTTGATTCTTTAAAAGAAATGATACTATCATCATTTACTTTACCTATAGTTACAGCCACCATTTACTGTTACTTTTGTTTTAAATGAAGATTGTACGTGTAAAGAATTGAGTGAATCAGCAGGTATTGTGGGGTTGGTTTGCTTTTCAATATGATGTTCATTTTTCATTGGGTACAATGACTCAGCCATCCAGATTTGGATGTCTTTCTCTCGTTTACAGATTAATCATAAAAAAAAAAAACTGAATTCATCCCGTAATTAGGTGGGGAAAAAAATCAATTTGCAAACATCATATGCAACTCCAGATTACTAGGAAAGCCAGAAGCAAATTTTCTTCTTGAAGGTTCTTCCACCTTTGACAAAGATAAGAGACTGGCCCGCGCATTCATGTACGTTTGTTGATTCTTTTCCGGAAACGAAACAACAAAGAAACAAACAAAAAACCATAATTCCCTTCTCCTCGTTCTTTTTCTGACAATAAAATTATTAAAATAGCCCAATAAAATGGAATTTCTTTCCTTGGGGTGTATATATAAGTTCATGTTTCTCTCGTGATTCTCTTAATAACATCTTTTTCGTCGTTTTTCTAAGGCCTTGGAAGACAACAGGTGTAGTTGGGTCAGTCACAAATTTTAAATTAATTAATTAATTAATTTTTTGGGTTGTACATGATCTTTGCATACATGCATGACAAAATACTATTAAAATTAGGAAAAAATTCTAAGAGTATCCAAGTAGGGGTGTCTATATTTGCATGCAGAAAGTATATTTGTTTTGAAGTGTGAAATTTTGATTCTTTGGTAAAGGTTGTATTTTTTTGTGTGCAGAAAATAAGAAGCTGTTCAATTGTTTCTTTCAAGGAAATCCTCTGAAATTTTCTGGGAAAAGGCGTTCTAAGGCAAAGAAGAGGAGCTTGAACTGGTAAAATATGGTTCTCTCTCTCTATGTATAATATTGCTGAATGTTGTTTTTAGATTTCTAGTATTTTCTTTCTTTTTGTTCATGGATGGATTTCTTGAATTTCCTTGAGATTATTTGAACTGTTCAACATGTTGGCATGGTGTAAATTTCCCTGTTAAATGGTTATGGCAGTGAAATATTAATTATTAACAGTTGGAAAAAGAATTTAGTCTTGAACTGAGGGTAATCAGTGACATTCAGATTCTCATAATTTGGTTTAAATCTCAGGTTTTTTTAACTCTGTTCCTGTTAACTCTAAATGTCTAAGTCTAAAGGATGTTACTAAGGATCACTTTGCTTGGTGTAATTAACCGAAGTTATGCATATCAGATTGTTTTGGTTAATCTTCTTTATGGGGTAAATTTCAGCTACAATGGTGACCAGAACAGTCGATCTTCGATCCGACACTGTCACGAAACCTACCGAGGCAATGAGGCTGCGATGGCAACTGCTGAAGTTGATGATGATGTCTTGGGTGCTGATCCGACTGCGGCCCAGTTAGAATCAGAGGTTGCAATAATCATGGGCAAAGAAGCCGGTTTATTCGTTCCATCAGGCACAATGGGTAACCTCATTAGTGTTCTTGTTCACTGTGATATAAGGGGAAGTGAGGTCATTCTTGGAGACAATTCTCATATACATATTTATGAGAATGGTGGAATTTCAACCATTGGAGGTGTTCATCCTAGGCCAGTGAAGAACAATGATGATGGAACTATGGACATCAATTCGATTAAAGCCGCCATTAGAGATCCGAGAGGAGAGATTGTTTACCCAACTACGAGGCTGATTTGCTTGGAGAATTCACATGCAAAGTAAGATTTTGTTTCTTGCTTATGAAATTCTTTTAAACTTGATTTGTTTGGACAATGTTAAAGATGAGCATTTAGGGGAAATTACCAGCCTCACATTGTGATACTTCTCTGACTACTTTTTAAGTTCGACATCAGATATCTGTGTCCAGTGTGAATCCAGGCATAAGAATGGAGATATGACCCTCCGAGGTCTCTCCAAATACATTTGCGAGACATGACCAAGTATCTGTAAATGCATCAGAAATCGGTACTTCTAGAAAAATTAAGGCTCAAAGCAACATGAACAGAAACTGCTGCATTGGCATTTGGCACTACATTAGAAGAATGTGTCATATATGATATATAATTATATACATATATAGAGTAATCCTCTGGTTTTCTTTTACTCAATCCATGCAGCACCGGGGGTAGATGTTTGTCTGTGGAATACACAGACAAAGTTGGTGAGCTAGCTAAGAAGCACGGCTTGAAGCTTCACATTGATGGGGCTAGAATTTTCAATGCATCCGTGGTGAGTAACACATTTTTATATTTGCAGTCTAAGTTACTGGGTGTCTGTTACAAATGTGTCTGATACGGGCATGTTCAATTTATTTTTCAAGCTATTTCATATATTTGGAGGATCATGAATCGCCATACCATTGTCCAAAACAGGCTTAAACGAAGAATCTGGCAGCATGACTAAGCCTTCTACTGTAGTTGTAGTCTCTTGTTTAACTGTATACAGGAAAACTAGCATTTATCATTGTATCTAACTAAAGTATCGGTCTGTCAGGCCCTCAGAGTTCCTGTTAACAGACTTGTACAAGCTGCAGATTCCGTCTCGGTATGCTCCTTATGTTACCATTGTTTGCTTATTTAAGCTTCTTCATCTTTTCAATGTTCTTACTAATTGTTGTTTCAATTGTTATCATATACTTCAGCGTAATTTACACTGTCGTTATCCAAAATAAGCTTCTTCGTCTTTTCAATGCCCCTTTTTTCATTGCATTTGTATGCTATAGGTATGTTTATCAAAAGGTTTGGGTGCTCCAGTTGGATCAGTCATAGTTGGATCCAAAAGTTTTATTAGTAAGGTAAAATCTGAAGTTTTTGTCGCTAAAAACCTCTGCAACATATCAAAATTTATCTTTGAACTCCATTTCCTTCGGCTTTTTCTTAGGCTAGAAGACTTCGGAAGACCTTAGGTGGCGGGATGAGACAGCTTGGTTTCATTTGTGCTGCTGCTTTTGTTGCTGTGAAAGAGAATGTCGCAAAGCTTGAAGGTGATCACAAGAAGGCTATGATGTTAGCAGGTAAATTATGGTTCAAGTAAATGCTACTCTGTTTCTTTATTTTACATGAAATATCCGTGTCCGACACCTATATCGGACATCAAATTAAATACATTGACTTCATGCTGGTTTTCTATTGTTTCAGAGGGGCTAAATCAAATTAAAGGTCTAAGAGTTGATGTTGCTGCGGTGGAAACGAATATCGTGAGTATGCTTGTTGTATAACTTACAGAACAATGTTCTCCTTGGCTTTGCATTTCCGGATTTGAGGTTTTACATACTTGCAAACTACTCGGGTTTGGTTCGTTCGTTATTGAATCAAGCTAGAGCTATCAAGTGAGTTGAGTTTCGAGTCTCAAATTTCAACTATAATGCAAGTTCGTGCTTATCTTGGCTCGATGATAGACCCCTAGTTGCGATTCGATCTATGAGTAAAGTGTAAAATAAGTGCCCACCCTGGTTTTATGTACTAGTTGCTGCCATGCTCACCAAAAACTAGTGGAAAACTGAAGGAAAAAATTGCATCAGAAAACTGCAGAGAATTTACTTTTACCAACCGGTAAAAGCAAAAGTTTTTCATAATTACCTATGTTTATATTCTTCATATTACTGTATTTCACCAGATATACTTTGACATAGTGGAGGAAACAAAAATCACAGCAGAGAAACTATACAAGAACCTAGAGGAACATGGTGTACTTGTGATGCCAGAAGGCCCATACAGGTCAGCATGCTTATGTTGTTCCGACTCTTCGTTTTTTCTTTTACATATAAACGTCCGATATCCGAATAACGATCATAGACAACCCGAATCGATGCGGTTTCTTTCCATGTTTATATTCAGGATGAGAATTGTCCTCCACCACCAAATATCATCAAGTGATGTGCAGTACACTTTGTCCTGCTTTCAGGTAATCGACACTGTCCCTGTTCCGAACCCGGCGCATAAGAATCGATTAGATTCGAACATTTGCGACGACTCTTACCGTATATCATCCTTGTTTCTTGCCTGTTGATCCATGTAATGCTTTACTTACTATTCCTTGTTTGAGTATTTGCAGCAAGCATTCAATGGAGTGCAAGAAGAAAATGGCTGCCGAGTCTGAAATTGGTACAACTCTTGAAGATCAGTTCAGAGGCAGGGGGAACATGATC